ACAAGTGTTACCTTCTATAGACTTAGTCAATGGAGCTAACTGGCTACTATGAGGAGTAAAACCCACCACAAGTGAGGAACAAACTGTGTGGTTATATGTACTAAGTACTAAGAAGTGATTTGAACTACAGCTGACATAGGCTATCTCGATTAATACAAGGTACCAACTGCAGTATTTTGTTCTGATTTTAAAATATTTAGTTTGTTTTATAAGCCAAGTTTCTTGAGCTTTTATATTTAAGTGTCACAATTATTAAAAATAAAATGTCATTTTTTTATTGGCTTTCGTAAATTTTCTGTGGGACATTGATCTTGCAAGATAAAATTTGTCAGTCACGGTACTTTTCAGAAACGTATTCCCTGTAAATTCTGAAAGATTATTTTATTTATCACTGATTTTCCTAATACCAGCATCATGCCTTTCTGCCCATTTAAGATCTCACTGAGACATCCTAAAAATTTTTCCTCATGATTTAAATCACTCTAGACATTCTGTAATCTCCCCGTTTTATAGTTTTACGATTTAAAACTTTTAAACACACCAGTTAATTCTTTGCATAAGTATTTTGTTTCACTGTAGGATGGTGCCTGGCTGCTTTTCCTCCTGTATAATCTATGTGTGCTCCTTCCGATCACAGGAGCCAGAATTGATTAAGCTAATTTTATTTCAAACAATCCAATACCATTAGAATAGTATTAAAGTAGCTTTCGCTTTTAACTTTTACTTATTTAACATTCACTGATAAATTATTGAGCTTCTACTATCTGCAAATCCATTGTTTTACTCCTATCTTTAACAGGCAAAGCTAGGGCTGCGTGGTTCACATATTCAAACTATCGGTACATAATGTGAAGAAAGACAAATGAGGAGTGTCTAGAAAACTATATAACTTTGTCCAACTTTAGACATTGGGATCATTTATGTTAACTTATAAAAAAATTCTCAAGACAAGTCGGGGATTTGGGTAATTGCCAGGATTCTATTATGGGTCGAGAACTTCCGTTCTCTATTTTTAAATATCTTCCTGCCATTTAAGATGAACAGAGACGTTTGCTCTGATTTATCTCCTATCTCTTCTTCCATCCTTTCATTTACTCCATATTCTTTTTGTTTCTCACCCCTGCGGACCCACCTTCTCTGGCTTGTTGTCAGTTCTGCGCCCATGTCTGTCTACTGCAGTGACACAGGTTACTACAGGTTCTTTTTTTATAGGGGGAGAGTGGAAGAGAAAATCGACCTCTTCTGCCCTCAGGGTGTGGGCTCAGCGAGACAATTTTTTTCCACAGTGCCTATGTTAATTATTCTGCTGGCATTACCCTTGGGTAAGGGAGCCTGCACCCTTCTCATATATTCAGCCAGTGTGTGTTCCAATCTGATAAAAGAAAGGAGAAGGAGAAAAAAAAAAATAGCGTGACACCTAAACCAGGTATTGCAATTGGTCCAGTGGATCAATGATCACCATTGATCCGTTGTACCCACCCTAGTGAGAAGTCTCCGGCATATACAAATAATTTTAACATAATGTAGAATAGATCGGAGCAGCATAACTTACAACATCAAGTACCTGAAAAGGAGCACTAACTCTGCTACTCTGCCCGGAGGATTTGGGGAAAGTTTTTAACACGTGGGTATGACATTGGAATCGAATCACACCTCGAGCCCGCACTATCGGCAATTCTTTCTGCCCGTAACTTCCTTTCCCCAACTGTTCTTTGCACAACTGACAACTACTCTTCAAGTATTAACCTGTGTTAACCAATTATAGGACTCTTCGCGACCACACCTTCTGTGATGGTTAACTCTACCGCTGATCACAGCTCCCTCCTCATTTTCTTCCTAGAGTTAATCCCCTTCTTTTCCTATGTATTTATCATTTTTTTTTTGTATTCACCCATTTATTGCCTGTTTTCCCAACTTGAATGTAAGCTCCATGAGAGAAGGAATCTGGTTTTTAAGTTCATGTCTAGCACATAGTAGGTGCTGAATAAATACTTATTGACTAAGTAAATTGTAATATAATTACTTGTTTGTATGTCTATCGCCTCCATCAGATTGTGAATCTGTCGTGTTCATTTTGCAATTTCTATTTCGTATGGTAATTCCTCCTGCGTTCGCACACGTGGTGGGTGCTCGATAAGTTCTTTTTGTATAAATAAATAAGTACACAAATTGTTACTCATTCTTCTTTATCCACCACTTTTATTGTAAAGGAGGTAATGAAATCCTAGGCCGTAATATTTTTTAACTTATCAAAAAGCTTAAGGGAACAATAAGTTACGCTACTTCAAGTTGAGCATAAATAAGTCTGCCATCTTACGGGAAGAAAAACAAAGAGACCCTTTGAGGCCATGTTCTACATTTGATTGGGGATAAAATAGTGACAAGTTGAAACATTCAAGAATGTGACCACTAAATAGAACCCTGTTGAAAAATGTTTTGATTTGTATCCTTGGACATATCTTGGTAGGTTAGCAGTTTACGAGGTGACCAGAGATGACATTTCCTGCCCACCGATGTCTGGTAACATTGCCTCAAATGTGGCAAACATCTCAAATTTATTCCTTGATGTCCCAGTTTTAACATGACTTTGTGAGGCCTTTCAAGTGGCAAGTGTACCAGCACGAAGAGGAGTCAGAGGCAAGAGAAATATCAACTTTTAAGAATAAGCAATGTCTGATTAAAATAGACCTATACTTAGTTGTGTGCCTTAGCAGAACTTTTTAAAATCTAGTACCCATTTCCTGTCATAGTAATCTTAAAGTCCTTCCCCTGGGTTAAGGAAACTGCTAGAAAAATCAACTGAATGATAATTAAGCATCTGGCTAGAACCTGTGTTGTGAGTCAATTCAAAATAAACAAATGCTGAACACCTACTATGTGCACAGCCAGCATCAAACAGATATCAGTGGCTCCCTCAGAATGTTCCACATGGTGAGTGTTAGAATAGGACATACATGTGGCACAGGAGAGCTCTGAAGGGCCTTAATCCACACGTAATCAAGATGAGCTTTCCACAGTGACATATCGAATGCTATAAAAGATATCCTCGTCCTGGTTTATTTTTTCCAGAAGAATCTGTATCTTCAGATTAGCTTTTCTTTAAGTATTGCCATCACAATCTTATTTATCAATTTTTTTCTTAGGACACTCATTCTGATTACATCAATCTATCCTATGTCTAAATTAAACTGGTACCTACATAACAAAGCCATCTCTCCGGGTTCCAGGTTATGAGAGTTTCCTGCTGCTAAAAACACACATGTTAAGGGTAGTTCTGTCCTTCAGTGACTAACTTTCAGCCTATGACAACCAAGATCGACCCGCTTTATATCTTTAGAATAATTATCAGGTATCTAGTGCATCGCAAGTTTTGAACTGGTGGGGTTTGAATTTATGAAATGAACTGAACTTGATACAGAAAAACAATTAATATTCACAATGAAAATTTTGTAAAGTATAGGTAAGCACATGAGAAAAAGCAGAAGTCACATCAGGATAATATCAAGTTCTAATGGGACAGATATAGAGAAATATTGGCCACTGGAGATAAAAAAAAAATTCTGTCTACCCTAATGACACGACCACTAGTACTGACCACTCATTCTACCTTATCGGCCGTCGTAATGGATCATATGTGTTGGCTTAGATGTGTTTCTTCACTACCAGACTCAGAGTTCTTGAAAGTCAGCATCAAGTCTTTGAATCCCAGCATTTAATATGGTAACATAACTCTGGTACATAATGCAAGTTCAATCAGCATTGCCAAATAATTAATTAGTTGGTTGAACAATTCGTTAAAAGTGCTGAACATTATGCAAATGTAAATAGCTCCATGAAGGTAGGTATCTCTGTTTTGTCCACATTTGATTCCAGAGCACCTAAAACACTCAATAAGCTTTTATTGCTGAGCAAATATGGTCACTCACATCTGTGTGGTACAGACATGGGCTCTACGGATAAAGTTTTATCGACAGAGTGAGTATCCTGCAGATATCTTAAGGATGCTGAGGGCTGCAGGAAGTACTCGCAGAGGCTACTATTTCACTCATTCTCACGTCTGGTTAAAGAAAAGCAGAAGCTTCCTTTACTCAGATACTCCCTTTGTCCATTCTGGTGGTGAGGAATGAACTTGGGTAAGAAGCAGTGGAAAGTATATCTTGCATGAATAGAAAAGTAAGAAATAGAGTTTTTCGGACTTCGACCGAGAAACATAGTTTACTTATTTAGGGTGGAATTTTATTTGCACGTCAAGGTCTACCCGGCCAGGATTAGAGCCATGTGAGGAAGGAAAGAAAAAAGAAAAAAAAAAAAATCCCAACCACCACAACGCTGGCAAAAAAACACATTTTCACAGGTTAGCAATAAAACGAAACCGTTTTTCATTCTTGCTTCGAATTTTTGGCATCACCACGGCACAATTTTCTGAAGTAAAAGGGAAGAGCAAAGAGAACAGCGACTTTGGGGAAAGGGTGACGACTGCGAGATGCTGCTCAGAGCCCTGAGTTTTTCAGGAGCCCTTCGGCGGGCGTCGCGCTAGCTTGCTTCTCGCGTCTGTTTCTTTCTTTCCGTTTTATTGAAAGACATATTTTCCTATCCATTAAGATTTACGGTTTTCTGCCAACTACTTCAGTGGAACAAATTTTCCCTTTAATTTAACAATGCACATATGAGACTCCGACATACCCGTAAAAACGTCTTTTAAGGCAGTCGTCACAAAATGCATTTCCTTAGGACCGAAGACAAATGGAAATGTAGGATATGTAACTTGGAACCGCGTAGCTCCCACCTACTTATTAGGTGGGTACGTGGGGCCATCATCATTTCACCAGGTCACATTCAGTGAATTAACTATCGCTAGGTTCTGACAACCACATAACCTAAGGGTTTTTGAGAAAAAAAAAAAAAAAAAAAAAAAAAAAAAAAAAAAAAAAAAAAAAAAAAAAAATAAGACTGTCACCGATTTTTTTCTGGCCCATTTGATCTTCTTCTGTATGGCTTACCTGTTAGCTGGGCTCCGAGAAGTATTAATCTTCATTTTCCCATCGTTGCCAGACACGTGGACTTTGTAGCATCTGCCACGGCACGCTAAAAAAATGAAGGATTAAAAAGGGATTTAAAAAGAGAGAAAAATTCTTAATCATGCTTTCATAACTTTTGGTGAACAGTTGGTTTAAATTTCCAAATAACTCTTTTCAAAAGGTTAGTATCAAAACACATGCAAAAAATAAAAGTCTAAATAAAGCACAATAAATTATTTCACTGCTAAGGTATTAGATTTCAAAGAGAGACATAAGGATATTAGAGTGGATGGACTATATTGGATCCCTGGGAATTGCTGTCAGATATTGATGAAAACAGAGAGACTGTAGGAGATCAGATAAAAGAGAAAAATGATTACATCTGGAAGAACAACGTGCACTACGTGGCCAACAGAGATTTCAAATGTAAGCTAATAGCAATCCACGAAAGGACAAACTTGGAGCGCGTCCCACATCGCTAAGCGCATTTACAATCATGCAGCATCTGTAAAAATTTTTACATAGCGTTTTCCCTCATTTCAAAATTTGCAAAATACATATTTAATAGGTTTAGCATGTCAGCTGGTAATTTGGTCCGCAGGCGGTGAAAAGGATTTGTGTTTTTCAGAAACCGAGTTGGGTTTTGCTGCTGCCCTCCCGGCTCTGCCCCCAGCCGGCTGCAATCGCGCCGAATGCACACGGCCCGCGGCCGTTGTAAACAACGTATTCTGTACGTTGCAGCATCCGCGCTGGCGAGAAAACCCATCATCTTATACTTTCCTCCTCTCTCTCCCAAGCTTCACATCCCGTCAACCTGGAACAGACAAGGAGTCCATCTTCACATTGCTGACTGCCCCCTCATCTTACCGAAAATCACCAGGGGAAAAGGGATGGGAGAAATGTCCCCATAACACATTTTCCTATCTGATAGGAGTCTTAACTGTTAGATTCGAAATGATCGAAGATTACTCAAACTGAAATGAAATTTGAGAAAAAAATAAAAATAGAAAAGCCAACTGGGACAGTAACTGGGAAATCGAGGGGGGTTCGCCAGTTCTCCACACCTGGCCCTGAAGGTCGCTTTGCCATGATCTCATCGTGCTGTGATACTATCTGAAGTGGTCACAGCACGAGCAGCAGCCGGCTCATTTCACTTATGTAGATGTTACTTCATTGTATGATGCAAGCTTTTCAAATCGCCCCCCGGTTGCATTGTCTTTTTTTCTTGTCTCTGGTTGTTTGTATCTGCACCAATTTAATAAAAGATGGTAGATCGCAAAGGCACGTTAGAACGACACCCCAAACCAATTAATTAATAACGTAGATCCTATCCTTCATTTATCAAAGGGTCTAGTACAGCAGAGATTGCTTCAGGGTGGCACACGAGCACCTCGATACTGGGGCGTGAGCACCTCGATTCGTAGCTGATTGGTTTGAATTAGAAAACTTTCCTCTCTTGTTGGGCAATAGAAAAAAAATACAGAAAGATATTTGTACTTGAAAACCTCTCGAGGCTACCCAAATTTTACTGTCATTTATGAGCCTTCAACTGAGTTGATAGCAACACTTTGTTTGGTGTGGCACAGACAGAAGTTTGGAGAGTTTTTCCAGTCGGCTCATTTCATCTGCTATCTGTAACAACTCCATATTTACTCCATGTTATGGAACTCTGTGTTCCGGAGATTCACAACTATGCCTTGTGGTTCATTTATAAAAATAATTATTCATGCATGGTAGAACATGGAGAGTTTTCTTAGTGGAGGCAGTTTAGAAAGGGGGTTTATTTTCTTAATTTGTTTTCTCAGTTATACAGTCTTCTCAATTTCATTGGAAGTAGGAAACACAGCTAACGGTAGAAGTGCATTATTAGAGAATTTATATCTGTTGGGACTTTTCGACAATCTCCCTGGGACAGATTTTTGAATTTGTTTCAATCTTGATTACAGGCTACACAATGAACAAAAAGCATTTCTACACAATGGCAAATCCTTACTGAAAATAATATTGTTTTAGTTTAGGCAAAAAAAAAAAATTCAATAAAGCCTTCCACTTGCATTTTGAAAGAAAAAAGTAAGTACTGGAGAGAATTAGTGTCTTCTTCATAACAAGTTACATTTCCATCTGCAATGCCTGAGGTGGCGTGGTGGCAAAGATATGGGCAAGTAACCTTTCAGTGAAATGTCTCACAATTCTGTGATGGATCGGTGTCACAGCTCCTTGGGTGTTTCTCTCCCCTGGGGTCTCTCATGACATTCTTGTTTCTGGGACCGTAACGATCCCACATGGCAGCTACGTGAAGGTGCTCCGGGTGAGACAGCCTGGGCCTGACTCCTCCATCAATCCCTTAGTAACTGTGACCTTGGTGAGTTACTCGACCTTCCTGAACCTCAGGTTCCTCATCTGTGAAACAGGGACAGTATTTCTTCCATCATAAAATGGTTCTGAAGTTGAGACAGTGTGTATAAGTGCTTCTCCTCGCTGTCAAGGATATGGCAATTGCACTACGTTTAATATTAAATTGGCAAAGTTTTAATAATAAGATAGTGACTTCCTGCTGCTCTTAGCAATCTGGCTATGAACAACTGGAAGCCTTTTAAAATGTGGCAACCCCTCTGCCCTCCCACTAGGACGAGACCCTCGGCCAGCTATCACGTAGTCGCTGCTCGTGACCTTTGTCTACCCCCAGTCAAGGTGTTATTACTCTTCTTTCAAATAAGTTCAACTTCCTCTCCCCTTAAACCCACACACCCCTCGGTGGCCTGGATGCTCCACAGCCCCATGGGAAGAAGGACTTTCTCCCAATGTTTTGTTTCACTTTCACTCTTGTCTAATGCCTGCTCCTCAAATCCAAGTTTATTATCATGGAACTATTATCGTCGTCAATCAAATCCCAAAGGAAAACCATAGCAGTAGACTGCTTTTCACGTAACGGATAATCAAGCAATAGAAAACATGAGTCTAACAAAACACGTGTCCTCGGTCTCTGAAGACATGCCCGCAGGTTGACCTGCAAAGTTGGTTTCGTATTGACGACTCCTCGAAGAAAAAGACACAAAAGAGCAGCGTTTCCTTGCGGATCACCTTCGATCACCTCACGTGGTGATGTGCCGGGTTCTAAGAAGCTTTTAAAATGGGCGTTTCTTCAGTTGGTTTATTATTATTAAATTGTCTGGTTTTATTCACTTTACGGGTGTGAGAGATGAAAATATTTAGCTTTTGAAAGCTCATACTTATTAGTTATCTGTTGCTTTAGAAAAGACGTCAAAGAATGACCATTTTGTTTGCTCATTATTCTATGGGTCAGCCATTCGGGCTGGGCTCAGCTGAGAAGTTCTTCCGCTTATGTCACCTAAGGTCACTTATGAAGCTGCAGTCATCCGCTGACATTTCTAGAGATCGGTGGTCGCAGTCAGCTGGGCCACATGTCTCCGGTGGGATAGTCTGGACTGATGGCTAGGTCCCAAGACTACAAGACCAAAAACTGCAAGACCTCTTAGGACAGGCTCACATGCCAGCTCTTGTGCTGCATTTTGTTGGTCGAGGCAAGTCATGCAGCCAAGCACAGAGCCATGCGTACACAGAGAGGAATTACAGCAGCCATGTTGCAAATAATCTACCACACCGCATAAACCTTTATAAGAATAAGTCATGCTCAATTAGTACTCATCTTCCTGATTCTTTTAGCTGAATTTTTTTTTTTTTTTTACTCTATGTTGTATGCCAGTTACCGCATAGACCTTTATAAGAATAAGTCATGCTCAATTAGTCCTCATCTTCTTTTAGCTGAATTTTTTTTTTTTTTTACTCTATGCTGTATGCAATAGGGGATATAGATAATAGGGGATATAGATAGATCTCGCCCTAAGGGATTTCCTCTCGCCCTGAGAAGAAAGTTAGCAGACTGCCTGGAAGGCGAGGGACTCAATGACCATATGATGTGGTTAGTTGTGCTCAGTTGAACTGAGGGAATGGCTGATTCCAGAACAGAATCAGAACAGAACCAATCTGGAATCTGTGCTGTGTATAAACCCAGCTTCATTACAACAACATAACAGAATCGAGCAAGTCATGGACTATTTTTCACTGAGAACAAGTCGAATGCCTTATCATCACACTTGAGCGATATCATAGGTTTTGGATCCCCATTTGAGAGATGAGGGTAGTGCTTAAGAGCTTGGCTTTGCAAAATATTAACGATAATGATAATGCTATATCTTGGTATCTCATGTTAAAATAGAGGTTATAATATAGTCTACCTCATAGAATTATACTGTATACTAGAGAAAAGAAAACATAAACTATATAAAAATCTTTATTTTCAGATACGATAGTATTATTTTTTAACTAATGAAGAAAAAGGATCCTCTTTCAGAAACATTTGAGCAAAGATCCAGAATTTAAACTTACTCAAGTGTCCACAGTTTTTCTCTTTTACCTTCTGCTCTTCGAGGATCTTGGTAAACCAAACAAAAAGTAATAGAGGAAGACTGCAGATACAGTCTACTGGTTTGAATTAGAAATCAATTTTCTTTTCTTGAAACATTTTTTTACTGGACACCACATGAGAAACGTGTGTGTGTCTATTTACTGTGATGGCCGCGAATGACTCCTGATTTACTTTCTTTCTTGCATAAACTCGGCTTTCTTGTAATGGATGTTTTTTAATTCCTCGGTCCCCAAGAGGTATTGAGCATGGGACAACGGGAAGAAAGAACTTGATATACCCTTAAATCCATCACATGGAAAAGCTCTGCCAACTGAGAGACAGCCACCAAAATCCGCAATATCAGAAGGAAGGTCATGTTTCAGCGATTTCAGCAAAGATATTCCAGGAGCCTTGTCTTCTAGGGCCAAATTCCTAATTTAAGAAATAAATTTTCATCTATTGCAAAGTTGGGATGTAGTACCGGTTCAAAAATAAACCATCTCTGTTCACTTACGGTCACCCCCAACCAATGCCAGAAAATTCTTGCAGCTCACAATGCCTGACTCTCAAGTTGTGACTATTAAGACTTCGGTTGGTTATGTCACCACTTGAGTATTATCTAAGTATGTTTCTCCTTTTAA